AGCAACTTACGTTGGTATAACTGCGTTGCTCAGGGATGTAGAAAATCCACACCCCTGAGTGACATGGTTATACGAATGGTTATAGCAACTTAAAGTGTAGACAGAGCTATGTCAATGGGATGGCTTCTCCCGTAGCCATAGCTACTGCCTCAGGGGGAGGTGGGGTAACTATGCCAACAGGAGAAGTCCTCCCGTCGGCATAGGTAATGTCTTCACTGAAATGCTACAGCTGCATCAGTGCAGCTACACAGCTGCAGCCTTTTAAATGCAGACAAGCCCTTAGGCTACATCTACACTACAGGGGGGAGTCGATTTAAGATACGCAAATTCAGCTACGTGAATAGCGTAGCTGAATTCGACGTATTGCAGCGGACTTACCCCGCTGTGAGGACGGTGGCAAAATCGACCTCTGCGGCTTCCCGTCGACGGCGCTTACTCCCACCTCCGCTGGTGGAGTAAGAGTGTCGATTCGGGGATCGATAAATCGATCCCCGAGAGGTCGATTTTAACCCGCTGATTCAGGCGGGTAGTGTAGACCCAGCCTTAGTGAAGTTAATAGAAATAAGCAAAGTATGTTTTGGCTGAAACCAAACAAAAATAAGGCACACGTGGAATGGTATCTTAATATACTTTCCAGCATCTACTTTATATATTCTGGTTATTCTTAGAATGTGTTACTGATAACTGGCCATCCTTCAGCATCGTGGCCTTCAATTCTGTACTAAAAATATTTTATACCAGGTGGCAGGATATTCAAAGCCCTGTGGAGAAGTCCACTTATTTTAAGAGCCATAATGTAATCTACAATTTATGCAGAACAATGTATTTTAAACTCAGTTTATTAATCAGTTGTTACATCATTAAAGTATGGCTCAATGGTAGTGACTCCATAATTAAGATTTAAAGACACTTTTCATTATGGATAAAATTTTCATAAATGCTTAGTTGACTTAGGAGCTTAAATCCAAGGACTTTCAATAGGACTTACACTCCTAAATCACATAGGCACTTTTGAAAATTTTCCCTTATAAGTCTAGTGTTAATACTTCCCTTCCTTAGCCTATTTCCACTTATAGTGAAAAACCCCTGAACTTGTCATATTATTTTTATAATCATTTAGTATTTCGTGTGCTTGGTGCAAACAAATCCTGAAGAAGGTATGAGTTTACAATATAAATACATATACCCTCAGTGCCTCTTATTTGTATGTCTACACTGCACTAAAACACCATGATTGGCCTGTGTCAGCTCACTTAGGCTGCAGGGCTATAAAATTGCCATGCAGATGTTTGGGTTCAGACTGGAGCCCAGGCTCTGGAACCCTGTGTCGGGGGAGGGTCCCAGATCCCCGGCTCCAGCCCAAGCCTGAATGTCTACATGGCAATTTTATAGCCTGCAGCCTGAACCCCTGAGCCTGAGTCAGCTGACATAGGCCAGCCATAGGTGTTTTAGTGCACTGTTTCACCTCAGGCTTCACTGTGGTTTTCTTTTTTAGGAAAAAAAAATCACAAAGTTCTTCTTCCATTCAATTATAACATAAGAATGGCCCTACTGGGTTAGTCCAAATGTCCATCTAGCCCAGTATCCTGTCTTCTGACAGGGGCCAGTGCCAGGTGCCCCAGCGGGAATGAACAGAATAGGGAATCATCAAGTGATCCATCCCCTGTCGCTCATTCCCAGCTTCTGGCAAACAGAGGCTAGGGACACCATTCCTGCCCATCCTGGCTAATAGCCATTGATAGACCTTTCATTATCATTCCCTTTCACTATCCCATCTACTCAGACTACCAATAGCTAGACTTCTTACCTCAAGATCATGATCCCCATAGCCAGAGACAAGAAGCAGTAAAATATTTACCCATCTCCTATGTAATTTACTCTGATATTTTTTGCTTTTGGCAGAAGTGCCAGAAAAAGAAACAATTAGCACCCCCAAGTAGCTAAGCTAAAGCAGATTCTTCACAATCCTTCCCAACCACCTTCCTGATTTGGAGCAAAGACTCAATATCTTGTCTCCTGCCCTTAACATGCAGTCCACAGGCAATATGCAACTACTCCTCATCCACCATTTTATGAAGATCCTGAAACTTCAGTCTACCTCATCCACATCCCCTTTAAGCACTGGCAAACCTAAGATTTATTCTCCCAATATTTGTCAAAGATTGCACTTTCCAAATGTATTCCAGAAAGACACTTTTACCTTACCTATGTAGCCAACCCACTCTAAGCAGAAACAAAATTGGTCTTAACCCTACAATACTTACTCAGATAAGTAAACCTTGTCTTCATTAGGACTTTGCTTCCGATAAATTAACAAGTTTTAAGTGAAATTGTGTGGTTAAGTAAGACAATGAACAACCTGACTATTCTGAGTAACCAAGTGCTTAGCTGGTATACAGCAGCATAGCTACATTGACTTCAACAGAACTGTACCGTTTCACATTAACTGAGGATCTGGCCCATAATGTCCAGTACTTTAAATCAGAGAGATTTACAGGTCAATAACAAGCCACAATTTCAACCTGTAATTACATAATAATTTACCAACTAGATTTGTAAGTGGGTTTATGAATAACAGGGTTTTTTATTTTTATTCTTTTAAGATGTAAATTGTGGGCCGTGCACTATTAGTTCTGTACTAAGTCAGTACTCCCTCTCATACCTCCAACATATCCGTGCTTTCTTACTGAATTTGAATTTTGTGGGCATTCATAGCTCAGTATTTATTTTCCATTACAATTTTTTTGTTTGCTAAAGCTACAATCGTAGGTTGAACATTTTCATAATGTGTAATTCATTAGTTCCTTGTGTAGTCCAGTTTAAACCTGAAATCCAAAATCACAGGTAATCTTTAACACATACATTAGCAATGCCAAATACCTTCTTCAATAGTTAGGTAAAAACATACCTAGCTTCTTCCTCCCCACCCAGCCTTTTCCATTTTACTTTTACAGTACTCAGAAAACGTATTGGACTGACAGGTCTAGATAATGAAGTGCCAAATTTCTCCCCCAGACTGTTATAACAATGGCAATGCCAGCTTTCCCATGCTGCCCCACTAATGTTCCTCAAGCAATCTAAAGGGAATACCTCTAGAAGTGAGATGGTAGTTCAGCCTCCATACACATTCGGTCAATGTCGTCTCCGGTGAAATTCCTGTTACTGCCAATTAATGCTAATACCACCAGTTAGTGCCATTTCTGAGTGGAATTTGTAATGTGGACAAAAAGGGGAGTGGATTAACTTGTAAATGAACTGAACAACATTATTTACTTCACTCAGGGTACCAAACAGTGCTCAGGTAGCCAAATCTGATCATAGTTGAGCTGGGCTGGATATGAAAGACTCATCCCTTCCCCCATCTTTTCCCAACTTTTAAAGTACTAGAAGAACTTCAAATGCTCATTTTGTGTGTGTGTAATTTGTTTGCTTGTTCTCTCCTCTCCCTATTAATTTCAGATCTAAACGAGTGTGGATTAAAGCCTCGGCCATGCAAACATCGATGCATGAATACCTACGGTAGCTACAAATGCTATTGTCTGAATGGATACATGCTTATGCCAGATGGATCATGTTCTAGTACGTCAAGACTCCTTAGCTTTCTTTTTTTCAAACTCCAGTTAATGTTTTTTAATCCCTTGAGGTGCTCAGTAAATATCTACTGGACAAGGATGAGTCCCAAGGCAAAAGCCTCCTCGTTCTGAAAATTGTGCATCAATCTGGTAAAATTAGACTCAGCCAAACAAGAATAAATAATTTGATTTTATTAGTTGTATTACCCATTTTTCCAAATTGTTCTTCAGCTGTGTAAATCACTGTTGATCTGCCTATGGGGATAGACACTTGCTGTGTTCTCAGCAGCAAGACATGTGCAATGCTGTTATATTATGGCCACATAAATGTAAAATTGTTAAAGCAACAGATGCCTGCTGGCTCCACAGTGTACCACTGTCCTGTGATCTTACTAGAGATCAGGTTCCTTCTTACTCCCATAAAAGTAGATATTTTGAGTATATGAACAGAGAAGGAGAGAGAGACAATGACCTTTAATTAAAGATGTTAAACCAGTGTCACTGCAGTCAGGAGTTGGCATTTTTAAACGAGTCCATCCATGAAGGGTTTTTAGTACATGTTGGGGTTTATTTTCAGAATGGGAATTGTGTGCCACAATACAGCTAGCTAAAACCTGTACTCTGTGACGGAATGTCTCTTATAAATACAATCTGTGAAATGAGGAGCACAAATTTACAGCATATATGTTTGCTTTTGAAGGGCTTAACCCAACTCCTATTAGAGTCAGCAGGAGTCTTTCCACTGACTTTCATGGTAGCTGGACTGGACCTTAATGCTCCAAAGATTTCAGCGACTTACCTGTATGATGCCGAGTCCTTATATTTGGTCTAAATGTGCAACTGTTTCTCCCTAGATGCTCTTTCTTGTTCAATGGCAAACTGTCAGTACGGCTGTGATGTCGTGAAAGGAGAGGTACACTGCCACTGTCCTTCTCCAGGCTTGCAGCTAGGGCCTGACGGTAGAACCTGCATAGGTAAGAGTCTTGGTTACTGATTTCACTGCTTTCCTCAGGATGTTTTCTTCTTGAACCAAAACACAGTTTCAATGAATTTATCACATATATAGGGAATACATGATAGTAAGGTGTGTTGTAAAGATTTTATTGGCATGAGTTTGGATAGCCACGCTACTCAGGTATTCTCAAACCAGTGCCAGTCATGTATTCTGTGTCTATCACGTGTTACAGAAATAATACTTTCAGCAAACTTTAGAGAGTTAAAAAAATTATTGGGACTATATTTTCATATCCCTTTGCCTGTAAAATCAGGTGCCATAGCTAAACTGTGCAGGACTCAGAGGGAGCAATAAGACCTTTATAAATAACTTGAACCAGCTTTTCTAAACATAAACATGTCATGGATTTAAGGACCAATATTTTGAGCCCTTCCAGAGGTAGAAGCAAGTGCTGTGCATTCCACAGGGAATCTGGGAATCTTCCCTCTTCAGTAGTATAAAGCTCCTATTTGTAGCCAGTAGGATGTCAAGACATCAAGGAAGGACAGCTTCTCCACATATGTGGTGGTGTAGTTACGATGATAGCCATGTGTATCTTGAAGTTTACTATACTAGTATAGTATAGAACAAAATATATACACACCTGTTCAAGGAGGACTATGTTTCAAAACATTTTGTGTCTGAATGATTTTTCAAATATGTTTGTTTATTCTACTTACCTGCAATTCAATGTATTATTTATAGTTTACAGCCCACTAATTAAAGGCACCCAGTGCTTGAGAAATTAAGTACTTCTTTGGATGTTTGACGTATCTGTTTGGGGCATGTCCCTAGTTTGTTTCTGCTTTACACTATCATCCTTGATGCCCAGTGTTTGAGTAACCATTTTTCTGTCCAAGGAAAACTGATCACTACACCCTTCAAAAGCTGTCAGCATTTCTGGGATTCTCTCTCTACAACCTTGAGCCAGCTAATATAAATCAATCAGAATAGTCAATGTAAAGTAAGGCTACTCTTGGTAATTTCTAAACTTAACTCCCACCAATCTGAGCACAATGTCCATCTCTTTCTTGCTGTGCTTTCTGTATTGGCACAGGAGATGGGGGATATAGAGGGAGCACAACCAAAAACTGAGTTCAGGTCTTCGATATGGTAGTGCCCAAGCATTGTTATAAGGCTACCAGACTGGGGCAAAAAGGAAGTTTTTAAAAAGATTTTTGACCATTCAGTTTTTGAGAGTTGAAATCAATTTGAGGTAGATCTTATCTTAACATATATTATTAAAAATACAATTAATTTGTGTTTACAGACGTTGATGAATGTGCGACTGGGAGAGTTGTCTGTCCCAGATTTAGGAAATGCGTTAATACTTTTGGAAGCTACATCTGCAAATGTCATAAAGGCTTCGACCTGATGTACATTGGAGGCAAATACCAATGCCACGGTAATAAAATCCACTTATTTCAGTGAGTCTTGCATGCATATAGCACATGTATGTTTCCTGTAATACTAATCCAAGGTTTATTATATTGCTATATTAGCTGGCTTATAGAGACTGTATTAATCACCTTATTATGGGTTGAGAGGCTGAAAACAGATTGCTTTAGTTTATCCTATATTAATTTTGTGTATATTATGAAATAGAATTACATTGAATATGGAAATGAAAAAAATATACATTTTAAGCCCTGATCTTGGAAGTGGCTCAGCATAGATTTCACTAGGGCTTCTTGCAGGCAGTTGCTGGTCTGGGGCTTTAGTGAACTTCACTAATTTTTCTCAGTGCTTCAGCTGGTGATGATCATATTAAGGAAAAGTGATGTTGGAGATTAAGTTGTGTTGCTTCAATTGTGGCCATGCTCCCAGTTACTTCAATGGGAAGTCCCTGCACAGAGCACCTGCAGGTATGGGGACCTTGTTTGTGGCACTAGTAGAGTGAAATAATATAAGATATTGTAAACCGTTTCCACCCTGGTGTAATAGTGGTTAAAACACAGATGTAGAGTAGGCTTACGTGCTATGTTGGATCAGGGCCTTATAAATCACTAGCTCAATTATTTCCCACCCTCACAGGTCACCTTTAAAAAGTGGTTATAGAAATTATAAAATTTACTTGTAGAAACTATCTGTTGCCACAGCAAAATATTAAACGTGGTGATGCAAGTTATATGCCTGTGTTATATAGGTGATCATTATAATCTCATCTCGCCTTAAAATCTATGAAAAAGATAGGATAAAATTCTCCTAGTTTCACTGGTGATACAATGTTGTTGAATTTTAAAAATTAAGAATATTTTTAAATGATATCTGTTTATTGTTGGTTTTTTTTGGCGCGGGAGGCACGTTCCTTCTCCCATGTGAATGACTTTTATGTGATTTTCTGTCACAGATATAGATGAATGCTCAATTGGCCAGTATCAGTGTGGCAGCTTTTCACGATGTTACAATACCCAAGGAACCTACAAGTGTAAATGTAAAGAAGGATACAGAGGCGATGGAATAAACTGCCTGCGTATGTAATGTGCTCCTTTTTTGGGGGGCTGGAGGGGTGTCGTGAACTCAGAAGCCAAATGTCAAACACCAAGGCCATTTATTAGGAAAACTGAGAAACATGGTAAATTTTGAGATGCAGTAGTATCAGGCTCAGTTTCACTCAGCTGTTTTTGAAAGATAATAAAGGATCAGATATTGTATTCAAAGTTTTATGAGTCTTAACATGCCTGGATAAAAATATTTTTCCTTGATCTTTTCGTTATTAGAAAGAAATCCAGCGAACCCTATTCACAGCTGCATTCTATAAATGACTCTAATTGTTGACAGATATAGATGATTGTTCTTGCTCTGAGCAAATGCTAGTGTGTAGTAAGTGGGTAAGGCCTGATCATATACTACATCTTACTCTTTCTCTGTCTGTTGTATGCACTCTGTGAGTTTCGTGCCAGTCTTGTAGCTCAGACAGACCCCAATGCTTAAGTGCTTAACTTAACTGTGGACTAAATTATCATTGTTTGTTGCATGCTACTGGATTTTAAAAGATATTTAAGTAGCTAGGGGAGATTTTAGCCTTTTAGTATTTGGGGGACTTTATTAATGGATAGAGCTATTTCTGGCCAATTTGCTATTTCTTTATGTGAAATCAGGCATGAAAATGGTGAATAACAAATGGACATACTCACTGTCAGATTGCAAAACCAGTGCTAAAGAAGGATAAGATTTGCAGTTTGTGTGATTTACACATACTCTTGATGACTGTCAGGTGGCAAACATGTAAGACTTTGAAAGATCTGCTAAAATAAATTAAGATTCACTGGAGACCTGGGTGTTCAGGGCAATCAACAGATGTCCTTGCTGATATTACTAAATCTTTCAACAGCTTACAATACTGTAGATAATCAGATGGGGTTTGACTCTACTAAGGGTGGACGGAAACAAGAAGGAGCATGGGCTATAATGGCAGAGAGAAAGGAGGGTCAGGGCAAAACTGGGAGGCAAGATCAAACCAGTATTTTAGATGCCTATATACAAATGCAAGAAGTATGGGTAATAAGCAGGAAGAACTGGAAGTGCTAATAAATAAATAAAACTATGACATTGTTGGCATCACTGAAACTTGGTGGGATAATACACATGATTGGAATATTGGTGTGGATGGGTACAGCTTGCTCAGGAAGGATAGACGGGGAAAAAGGGAGGAGGGGTTGCCTTATATATTAAAAATGTACACACTTGGACTGAGATGGAGACGGACATAGGAGACGGAAGTGTTGAGAGTCTCTGGGTTAGGCTAAAAGGGGTTAAAAACAAGGGTGATGTCATGCTAGGAGTCTACTACAGGCCAACTAACC